ATTTTAGTTCAAAGCTGATCTTTGATTGATTCAAAGATAATTTTTGTTAACACAGTCTCAGATTTTCACAGTGTTATTAAATATCCCATAACAATTGGTCTTATAATGAAGCATACTGTGTTATTTACATTTTCCTCCTCTGCTGCATCAAGTGGGGTTTTTTCTTTGCTCCTTGTCCTATGTAGGCCATGCCTTCCCCCATCAAATGGCATTTACTTGCTGTTGCTTTTCTTTCTTGTAGCAGTGTTTTTATTTTTGTTTTGTGTTGATTTTTGTTTGTTTTGGCAGTAGGCAGAATAATGACTGCTTCAAAATGTCTGTGCCTTGCACAGGAGAGATGACTTAATGGTTAAAGGCACTTACTTGTCCTTTCAGGGGACCCAGCATCCTCATGGTGGTTCACAGCCATCCCTAAGTTACAGGGGCTCTGATACCCTCTGCAGACCTCACTTGCTGATTTTGATGATAAAGAAGTCAGGGCATGCACTCACTCCTAGAAGCTCCCAGTAGTGAGGGAGGAAATGGAGAACAGGTCTTAACAAACGCAAGGTTTGAATTCTGCCAACAATTTGAAAAAGCTTGAAAATGGGGTTATCTCCCAGTGTGTTGAGATCAGAGTCTGGGGGCAAGGAAGGTAGATTGGTAATAGACTGCTGTCCAACACGTAGCCCTCCAGTTCAATACCCATCATGACAAAAATAACAAAAACTCCCAAATTCCCAGCTTAGGTTGATGGACCCTGCAGCCTTCAATGTAAGCCAGGAATGCCTATTCTATCTAGGGAGGTAACACAATTCTGGAAATAAAAAGTTATGGTGTTTTAAATCACTTTGTATGTTTTTTTTTTTTTTTTTTTTTTTTTTTTTGTGATGCCATCATAAGCTTTGTCTTATTCATGTTTCTGCCTCGGTGTGACTCCTCAGCTTTTGCTGCCTGATGTTGATGACCCCAGTCCTGTTCCACATGCTCTCATTTTATTCACATGCATATTGTTTTTGGAACATTTATCACAATGTGTCAGTATTTAACTTTTTTTTTTTTTCTTGTCTGTCTTCCCCATTGGAATATAATGCTGGGAAGACAGTGCCTTTTAGAATATTGAAAACAACACAGCAAGGATATTGGTGGAGAGGATAGATTGTCAGTAAGAATAAGCTTTTAGCTCGGTTCTGAAATAGGAAAAACCCATTTCCTTTTCAGACAGCATCTCATTTTTGTAACCTAGGCTGGCTTTGAACTCCCGACAGTCCTCCTCAATCAGCTACATGAGTGCTGAGATTTCAGGAGTGAGCTGTCATGCCCAACTTTTAAAAAAAAAAAAATCCAGGTGATGACTGATGGTGGCAACCAGGACATTTGGGAAGTTTTAGATTATTTAGTGTTGCATTGATAATGAATACTTGTCAAGTGTTTCATAAGGACATCAAGAGTTTTCACTTACGAATGCTTTGTCTTACTACACCTCTCTCTGTTTTGAAGATTTTCCCTCTAGAGTCTTCCCTTAGTTTACTTCTCTGAGTTGATCCAACAATTATTTATGCTTTGCCTTTTGTGTCAACATTATAAAAGAGAAAGAGTTTCTATGGGGACACGGTAAATGCTATGTTTCTGGGATCACAATGAGCTGTCTCTTGGGGAGAGAAATCTCCCATGTCAGTTTTTTCCTCATGTATTGTCCTTGTGAGAGTGTCAGTTAATTGTGGATTTCTGGTGTTAGGGGTTCTTGGTTATAAACATAGCCATGGAGTTCCTGTGTAACTGACTGCATGTGTTCTACAGTGTCTCAAGTATACATGTTAATCTTTTAAAATCATTAATTTTTCTTTTTTAAAACCAGTAGGTTTTAAAGTCTGTAAGAATGCTAATAAGAAAGGAAAGAAGATAAGAGAATTGAAGGGTGATTGTTGTTTTTTTACTTCATGTATCCTTTATGAAAATACCAAAGGAACCATCAGATTTATTAAGTGGTTCATATTATATTGTACATTTTCTAGCATATTTGGAAAGACTAAGAATTTAGTTTTTAAAATGTATTTATTAGCTGGGCAGTGGTGTCGCACACCTTTAATCCCAGCACTTGGGAGGCAGAGTCCGGCTGATCTCTGTGAGTTTGAGACCAGTCTGGTCTACAGAGCAAGTTCCAGGACAGGCTCCAAAGCTACAGAGAAACCTTGTCTTGAAAAACCCAAAAAATGTGTTTATTATTTTTTATGTACCTAGGTGTTTGTATACATGCATGCATGTGTACCATGCTAGGTACCCAAGGGAGCCAGGAAAGGGGTCAAATTCCCTGGTCCTAACGTTATAGATGGTTGTTAGGTGCCATGTGGATGCTGTGTACTGAACTTAAGTCCTCTGCAAGAATAGTTAGTATTCTTAACTATTGAGCCATTTCTCTAGCCCTAGAAGTTATTTTTTAAATCTAAGTGATTGTTAGGTTATTTGAAATTTGTAGACTGACAGTTAGTTCAATATTTAATGTGTACTTTGTTTTTACTATTTGCTGTGGATGGTTAGGAAATTCTATTTATTATTAAAATTTGTTTGTTTTTTTTCCCACTTGTAGTTCTAGGACAAATGAGAAATAAGCAGCATTACATAAAGTGTAGAACATAATCCATTAAAAAGAAAATCAGGAGATTTCTGCTCTGTCTTAAATGTACAGCCAAGGAGGCTATTAAAATATCACCTCAGAAAGTGTTTAAGTGGCAGAATTCCAGGCTGCTGCCCAAATTCCCTTTTCCTGAGAAGAGGCCTTCACAAAGAAAAATGGTACTGAGGACAGAGGTTAAAGGAGGGACTGAGAATGTTGCTGATTACTCATTGTTCCTTTGTGGGTGAAAAGGGACATAGGGACATTTCAGTCTGAAGCTGGCCCTGACTCAGGCCTGTAATCCCAACACTTTTGAGGCTGAGGCTGGAGTTGAAGCTTAGACAGAGCCCCACAGTGAAGTGTTAGTCCAGCCTGGTCTGCAGAGCTAGTTTTAGGACAGGTTCCAAAGCAATGCAGAGAAACCCTGTCTCGAAAAACAAACAAACACAAGACAAAAAACAAACAAACAAACAAAACACCCAAATATATTAATTGCTTTTATACAAAAGAAGATTTTGAGAAAACTTTGCTTTGTCTCTGGGGATATATCCAAGTTGCTGGAGGGAGGTAGTTGAAACCTGAGTGTATTATCAAGAAAATAGTGACATAAACTACCCACTTAACTCTTGGGGCTAACAGGGAGTCAGGCTCTCATGTAGCCCAGACTGACCTTAGATTTGCTATGTAGTCAATGTTGGCTTTGAACTCATGAGCTCTTTTTGCTTCTGCTTCTCAAGTGCCAGGATTGTAGGTGATTGATTGCTCAGCTGTATTCACCCATTAATTCATCATTACTCACATTCTCTCTCTCTGTTATAGAGTAAGTCAGTCATTTAGAAACTATAGTTGTGGATAGGAACTTAAAGTAGGTGAAATAAGTTTGGATTTCGATAATTACCACAAATTTCCTTTTAGATCTGTTTGCTTTTCTGATAGATAAAATTGTTCCTGTGATTCCAGTCATGCCCTCCCTCCCCATAACCCCCTCTCTTCTCACCTTTTCCGTGTTTTTGGAGTCAGTGTTTTGCTGCGTAGGCAGGCTGGCCTTGAACTCATGATCCTTTTATTCAGCCTTCTGAACATTTGGTTACAGGCATGTCCTACCACACTCAGAACCAGGAGAACCAATTGTTCTTGAGCCTAGTAATTTTTAAGTCCTAATCAGAATATACTTTGATGGTATAGGGGCATCATTTGTTACAATGCCTGGCACTTTGCATTTACTAGACTTTTACTAAAACTTCTATTTGAAATTTATTTTATTTTGTGTGTATAGGTTTTTGCCTGTATGTACATCTATGTACTATATGCATGTCTGGTACCTTTGAAGCCCACAAGATGGTGCTGGATCCCCTGGAACTGGAGTTACAGACAGTTGAGAGCAGCCATGTGGGTGCTGGGAATTGAACCCGAGTCCTCTGGAAGAGCAGCCAGTGCCCTTAACTGTTGAGTCATCTCCTCAGTTCCTCACTACAGATTCTTTGAAGGATGTGATTATGTGTTAGTTTTTCATATCTCTGTCACTTCCTGTGTTTAGGCTGCCTGCTTAATTTTAGGAGACTCTTCAAGAATTATAGATAAGAGCCAAAATAATGACATACGAATGTAGCCACTCTATATCCAAGACAGGAAGTTCTAGGATGTTGGAGGTGGGAGTAGAAACTCAGGTTTTGTTTTTATTTTTAATTTCAACAATAATTAAGTGAAAAAACTTGAGGCAAATACTGCAGTGATTCAGTTTTTTGTTGAGACAACACAGATAATGTGTATGGTTCTAGAAGGAATTACTAGGAGGGAAAGCAGAAAGTCTGCCTCAATTCTATCAGAGTAAAATGTAACATTAGTTAGGATCTATCAGTTTCAAATTCCACTTCTCTGTCTGAAATTATAAAATAAACTAGAAGTGGTAAGAGTCAACCCATGGATGTTTAAATATGGTAATTGGTTAATTCAAGACTAGCAGAGAAACTGATGCAGTGTACACTTAGGAACCTGGGAGGATTTTGTTGCTTCTGTCCCTGCATTCCTCCTCTTCTCTTCCCTTGCACTTAACTGTTCTAGCCATGAAAAATGTCAGATATTTGAAGTCTAATATGAGAGAGTTCAGATGATGAAAATGGGAACTCATATTTAAACATTGTCAAAGAGTTCTGACTCCACATTCTTACAAGGTTTGGCGTTTATATGTCACTGTAGCATAAATGCAAAACACAAATGATTCATCAAATCCTGGCTTTGCAGGAAAGCTTTAGATTAGAAGGAAACACCTAAATGCGGGACCCATGTTTCTTTTCAGGATAGCATACAGCTCAAACCTGAACCACAGTTGTGATTGTTTGCAGCTCGCCCATTGCCTGGGGTGTTATTTTAAGAAAGCAGAAGCAGCATCATTTGCACGCTCCTTATAGGCACACACATTGGCTCTGGGTTTCTGGCTTCAGTGTTTCAAAAGTGAAGACAAGATGAAGAATACCCACTTGCTTCTCTGGGGAGCCCTGGCTGTTTTTGTCAAGGTCATCCTTGTGACTGGTAGGTGGTACCTATACCATAAAGTCAGGTAAAAGGGGAAATAAAGAGTATTTGGGTCTTATGTATAAAGAGTTAAGTTTATGCTTTGGTTGGCTTGCTGGACAGCTGCCTTGCCTTCTAATCTTATTAGGCAGTGTTACATACACAGACAATGCTCATTGTATTATTTGTTCTTTTTTTCATCTGTTTAGCTACTTCAGTGTATAGCATAAGAGAGGTGAAATAATAACTTGGTAATTATGATATAGAATATATTTTGATTTTATCTTCCTAGAGAAATGGAATCAGTTTCAACAACTTTCTTACATCATAATACTTTAAAAATGTTTAGTGTTATTCGTGATGTGTGAACGTCTGATATTTTGTTTTTTTATCTTTTAGACAGCTGTATCAAGAGGCATATTCTTAGTAGAGAAGCTTATCTTTTTTTAAGATAGAAATGTAATTGAGCATAATCACATTATATTTTATTAACAACATGAATAATGCACTTCAAAAATAATATTTAAAATATAAAATACTAGTAGCAAAGCATATGTATATATAAACACTAATGTTTTCAAACATGTTTATATGTCTGTAAGCATGTCTATATAAAATAGATGTAGCTATATATAAAATAGCTATTCTCCAGCTCCTTTTTTTTTTTTTGAGACAGGCTCTCACTGTGTAGACCAGGATGATTTCAAAGTCCAAATTCCTCTGCCTCTTACTCCCCAGCGCTTGGGTTGCAGGTATGTTCCATCATACCTGGCCAGCTATACCTTATTGAACTATGTATTATGGTGCTTTGTTATTATGCTAATAGCTTTACCTATAGTATTCCACTTAATTTTCACAATACCCTTTTCTGAAACACTTGGGATTGAGGTAAAATAACTTCATAAACTCCTTTTAGTGAACCCATTGAAGTTATATCCACAAGACAGTGCTATGTAATTCTACTTGTTTGAACTCAATAAAATTTATCAAATACTTTATTGCACACCTCCAATGTCTCAGATACTTTTAAATAAAATAATTTGTTAGGAAAAGTGCTTAATTTCAGAGAGAAAATGTTACAGTCTAGGTCTTGGTAAATGAATTTTTTGTACATTTTCTCATAGATAAATTAAGCTGCATGATTAAAAAAACATGAATAGTAATGATTGTGTCATATGTTTTTGGAAAGGAAATAAACGTGCCTTATAGAGTGTGACTGTTTTCTGTTTAATACTTCCAAATGAAGTAATTTTCTTGACTCAATGTGTATATTTGATCAGATATGATGTGCTCATTTATATTTCATTAAGGGAAGCATTTAAGAGTTATGGACACAGACATGAGGAAGAGAAGAGCACCGTTTGAATTATTTTGTCCCTTTTAGAGAATTAATAAGTGCTATGTCATTATCTGAAATTGTCCCCTGACAATTTTTTCTGATAGTTTATTAATAATTTATGAATAGCATACTAACATATTGTTCTTCAAACAATTGCAAATGCAATAACAGTGATCTTAAAACATTTGAAACCATTATTAGCATTAGGACTGAATCTCAGTTCAGTTCTTTCTGCTTTGGGAGCTAACTTTCAGGAATAATTAGGTCTCCAAATAGAATGATGTCTGTCCTGACCCTTTAACCTTTATAGTTTGCCTGTATGTACTAATTCCTCATAAGTTTTTTTAGTTGAAACTCAGTGGGTGGAATTTTAAAGGTTGTTTACCTGAAGCCATAGGAAAAAGAATATTGAGCATCATTATTATTTAACTAGAACTATTAAAATAACACTGTTACCGGCTCTTAAATGATCTGTTGTTGATTCAACACCAAATATTAGAATTTTTCTTTGTTTATTCTTTGCAACATTTACCATATCTATTTGAGTCACATATCAGAGAATGAATATTGACTCTCAGAGTTAAAACTGTAATACATAACTAAGCATTTATTAATTTTCTCTATAATGATATTGCATATTAAATTGAACTCACACCTGTCAATATTTTCTAAATTGTTTTTGCAGCACAACTTTACAGACAGTATTTTACATCAATATACATGATAACATGATATACACTGTCTCTTCTAAGAAATATTAATACAGCTCTTGTTACTTTTTTGGTTGAATTTGGGGACTGATTATTATTATGAAAAACAATATACATAGTTTAGGAAAGTTTTGGTGGATAATATTAAATCTTACAAAATAACAGTCTTGGGAGAAAAGATGCTTATTCCAATACACTTTAAGGGGAACAATTTTTTACAGGAAGAAATGAGAATTCTGGAATAATTCAATGTTTCCAGTTGGATTTATAAATGCTTTGTATTTGCTTTCAACATTTGGTTGAGGAATAATGTAGATGTTTGTTTTATCTTTCATATTGGTGTTTATCACTGATTTTTACTAGATGACATCATTAAAAAATTAAAGCATTAGATAGACATCAGAGTTCCTTCAGCCTAGCTTCTCATTAATTTTTACAATGAAGAAAAAGAAAATTCCTTTCAGATTGTATTTAGATTTCCTTTGCTCTTTTAGATTAGGGAAGAAAACAAATAGAAAGACTGGGACTGATGAACAATAAAAATTAATAAAAGTTAAAGTTTTTGATCCAGGGATAATGGTGCCACATGGTGTCAGGGGATGGAGAGTTCATAACCCCCCACAGCTGCAAAGTGAGTTTCAGGACAGCCTGGGCTACAGTGTCTTATTTATTCAGACAAAAGAAGCAATTAACTTATCTTAAAACACATGTACTTTTTTTGGGAGACAATATCTCTTTTTGTAATGCAGACTGTCTTGGAATTTACTAGGTAGCCCAGGCATGCCTTGAATTTCCTGTCCTCTCTCCTGAATTTTCCAAGCACTGGGGTTGTGGACTACACTACAACACCCAGGACAGCATAGAAGTTTGTTTTCCATTTTCATGATATATTTTACCTTTCCAACCCAAGGTGACAATGGGAGGACCATCCTTGCTGACAACAAATGCATGTGTACCCGAGTTACTTCCAGGATCATCCAGTCCACTGAGAATCCTAATGAGGACATTGTGGAGAGAAATATTCGAATTGTGTATGTGATATTGACATTTCTTTTCTTTTCTCTTGTAAGCAGACACTTTGTGTTGTTAAGCTTTCTTTTCTTTTTAAAGGCAATCCTGCAGAGTTTTCTGAAACAGCTCCCTATAGCTTGGAGGGGTCTGAAAAGGGGTCTGTTTTGTTTAAATGTAGTGTCTTTAGTGTACTATTGACATGGAGCACCTTTAAAGAGATTGACTCATGACTTAACTGAAGCTGAATTTTGTTAATAAGCTTGAGAAAACTTTGCAGAAGTTGGGGGCAGAAACAAAGGGAACCAGAGGTTCCTACTTAGTCACCAACATGCCAGTTTATATGCAGGTATTTCAGTTTGAATCAGAACTTTCGGTTATTCTTAATCAGCTTGAACTGCAACTTCAGAAAAATGGTAAACACCCTACTTTTGTTCCAGAATTATTGACTATTGAGTATTTTATATTGTTTTCATAATGGCAGACTAATTAAAACTGATGAATTGACTTTTGACTCATAAATTACTCAGAGCTGTTCAGTTCATTTCATATATAGCTCAGACTTATATACTTGGAAACTCTTATCAATAGCAAAAATACTGATAATACTTGAGAAATGAGATTTCTCATTGATCTGATCAGTGACAAATTTTCCTTGTTAAATACTCCCACCTTAATGGTTTTATCCAAGCAAATACCTCTTGTAGGAACATAGCAATCAACTTTAGCTATTAGTGGGGAAAGTATGATGTTAAAAAAAAAGTCTGGCTGTGTCAGTTTGTAACTGTGTACTCTCACAAATAATCAAATTATTTGTCTACTCCAAATGTAAAATTTCTCATCTTTAAATAGAAGAAAAATGAACCTACTTCCTAGGATTATTATTTAAAAACCTGAGAATATCTGTTCTTTTTAAAGGTTGTATAATTCCTGTTACATAGTTAACTATATGTCTGTTAACATTGTGATAAAATGCCTTTGGTGCTTTCCCCAGCATTGTTATCAGTATTGTTACAAATGTGCGGTGCCTCCCTACACAGCTCAGTGTAATTCTTCAGATTGTTCACTCTATTTACTTTGTGTTAAAAACAAACAAACACCCAGGAACCCTATAGTGTATCTTCTTTCTCTGCATTTACAGTGTCCTAGTTGCTTTTACATCTTTCACATTCTGTTTTTATATCTACTGGGTCCTCTATTCAAGAGTTATTTCTGCCACCCCTTTCAGCTTGGTTACCCTTCTTCATTCTGGGTGTCTTAGCCATTGATTCCCATGGGAAGTTTTCAGAAACAGCTCCTTTTAGCAGGGAGGGGTCTTAAAGGGATTGCCTTGTTTAAATGTAGTGTCTTAATTCCACTTTAATGAGATTGAATCGTTATTAAATGAAGTTGAATTTTATTTCTCTCTCTCTTTTTAAAGGGGTGAGCTCAAAATGCAGTTCCCCACTACAACAAATTATGCAGTTGAGTTTTCTGTATTTGGGGAAATTGCAGGGGTAAACACATCTGAGTGCAATGAAGTTGAATTTTGTTAACAAGCTAAAGCAGTTTTACAGAAGTTGAGGGCAGAAGTTTTCACTCAGATCCTGTGCACAGAACTCATTGGAATTTATAGATTCTCACAGAGACATTCAATTTAAAGGAATTAGTCTTTGGCATTACACATAAATCATATTGATGGACCACTTATATTTGAATCCCCAGGCGGACAATTGTTTAAGTAGGCTTCAATGCTTTCTTTTCTAATCCATCTTTTACTTGTACTGTTCATTGAAATCAAATAATTTACTTACTTCGTGATACTTTGCCTGACATGTATTGATGTTTTCTGTTGTTACTTTTTAACCCGAAAGAATATTGCCATTGCTGTGTCATTATGGTACCATTCCCAAGTCTATCACTTACTGTAATGGTGTGGCTTTATGGAAGTAATGTGTTTAATTAGAACCTTATTCCCAAGCTGTGAAAAAACGACAGTCTTGTTTAGATATATACATATTTGGGGCTTAGATTATATTATATAAACTTATATGAGAACAGTGTTTGGCTCACAGTTGGCTCTTATAGATGTTTATTTCCCTATATTTCCCATCATTTAAAACATTTTCCTGAGTTAATGAGATAGATGGCTCACTGCATACAGGCATTTGCTGCTAAGCCTGGCAACTTGGATTTGCTTTCCAGGACACTGCGTGGTGGAAGGAGAGGACTAACTCCCACAAGTTACCCTCTGACCTCCAAATGTGCTGTGGCATGAGCACACTCACCATCAACAAATACATATAAGTAAACAAATATTAAAAAAAAATCCTTTTCCAATATCACAAGAGCCTTTATAATCAAATCAAATCATAGGTAAATTTATTCATTAAAAAAACTTTGTTTTTGTGTATAGCCCATGTTTAGGTTAGTACTGGGAATACAATATAAATTACATAAAGTAGTTCATGCTGAACTGGGAACGGTGACACACTGAAAGTCTCAGCATTTAGGACATGGAAGCAAAAGAATCAGGAATTCAAGGTCATCCTTTGCTACAAAGTAAGTTTGAAGCAAACCTGAGCTATATGAAATACCTTCTTAATGCCCAAATAATAAAAACTACAGCAAACAGTTCCTCCAAAACAAAAGAACAAAATGAAAACACAATAAAACCTAGACCCAAACAAGAGTAGACATCTCCCCTCCCCCCAGCAAACTATAAGATAAAACATGCTCCCGGAGGTATTACATGAATATGGTGCACACAGACATATATACAAATAAAATACCTATACACATAAAATAAATGAATAAAAATAATTTATTAACTTATGTCTTTGAAAATTATAGGTAGCATCTTTTTTGTTTATTCATTCTACAAGCAATGAACACCTTCTACACACCACACATGTAATCATATATAGCTTAGGAAAACAACTAGGTCATAGACAAGAAACTGATAAGTATAGCAAATTATTGTGAAACCTGAGTAGTAGTTTACAATTGAGTGAAGTCTTGTTAAGTACTGTTATAATTAAATAGTAAATTCCTCAAGACCTAAATATCAGAAACAACAGTATTTATATTTATTGTTTTACTGTTTTCTTTCTTTTTCTTTTTTAGTGTGCCTCTGAACAACAGGGAGAATATCTCAGATCCCACCTCTCCTCTGAGAACGAAATTTGTGTACCATTTATCGGACCTGTAAGATTTTCCTTCATATTTACTTATGTTAAAATTAATTACTTTTAATTAACTTTATTAATAATTATATTTCTTAAAATACAGTTGGATATAAACATTGATAAATGTCTGACCTTTTAAATACACTGATCCTAGGTTAATGATTAGGTACCAAAACTTCATAAAACTTGGTCATAGGAAAATAGTAGCAGTAACTTTATTCCAAAGAAGAAATTATTTTTTTTTTTTGTACAGAAGGAGTCGATTTATCTATACATTCAAATAAGTAATTTTAGGTCTTAGCATTCATATGTTTCTTTGCAGTAGATAGAATCCAATGTTAAACAGTTAAAAAATTTTTTTTTTCACTGAGCATGGTGGCACATGCCTTTAATTCTAGCACTTGGGAGGAAGGCGCAGGAAGATCTCTGAGTTCAGGGGCAGCCTGGTCTACAGAGTGAGTTCCAGGACAGCCAGGGCTACACAGAGAAACCCTGTCCTAAAAAACCAAACCAAAAAACCCCTCCAAAACCCCAAAAATTCCCTTAAGAGGCTGGTGCAGGGGCAGGAGGACTAATCGTTCTAGGCCAGCATGAGCAATATAGTGAGACACTGTTCTCCCTAAATGTATCTGTATGTACATGTATAGCAATATAATATATATGTATATAGTATATACATGTGCATATATATATATATATTCTTCTTGTCACTAAAACTGAGTTTATTGAAAGAAGCATATATATAGCTAGCACAGATATAAACTAGCTTAGTGGAAGCTTCTGAATAGTATAGGTAAGATGATTGTATCATCATATCATTAATTATATTGCTTACTTTCCAGTAATTTTTGTACATGAAATACTAAAGTATTTTAGAAAGTATTGTTTGTTGTGCACATGATTAGGTGTGGAAAGACTCATTGTTTATTGTAGGTTAGAGCTGCAAGAACTAATGGACATTGGATAAACCTTTGCAGTGACTTGTATATTGAGATAATATTTACTGGAGGATTTCTACTGCATATGTTTTTTTCAGCTGTAAGAAATGTGATCCTGTGGAAGTGGAGCTGGATGACCACATCGTTACTGCCAGCCAGAGCACTATCTGCAGTGAAGACAGCGTTGTTCCAGAGACCTGCTACATGTATGACAGAAATAAGTGTTATACAGCTATGGTCCCACTTATGTATCGTGGTGAGACCAAAATGGTGCCCACAGCCCTGACCCCTGATTCTTGCTACCCTGACTAGTTTGAATCATTCTCAATATGCAACTCTCTCTTTAGGAGCTCTCCATTTGAACCCAGAAGTTGTACTCACTGCTCATTAATTTGAAACCAGGACTTTTTCTTTTTGAATGGTATAAAACTAACATTCCCTTTAAATAGTTAAAATATCAACATTACTGTCATTATAATGTTATTCTTTCTCAATTCTCAGTATTAAGTCCTCATGTCTGCCTGGGGAGGTATTTTCAAGAGTTCATTTCTTAGAGCTTAAAAAATGTAAACAAGATGAGAAAGTAAAATTCCAAGAGTAAAAATTAAGAGGTGTAATTAAATTTTCTTTCCTACTTTGCTGTGGAGAGCTGGAGCTTCTGCACATTCTGTGCTATTCTCTTAATGTCTCACTGTGTAGAGAAAACATACACATAAACACAGGGCAGTTACATATCTTCACTAGAAGTTGAAAAGGACACATTTTGAAACTATTTACTAATATTTGCAAAACCAGTTTGCTGAAAGTGATATAATTTGATACACAATTGAAAAAATGTATTTTGATATAACACATAGACTTGGCACTAGATTTTTTTTCGATAAAATTTTTGACAATTAGGCTATTGTCTAAAATTCTTAGAGGAATCTTCTGTATTGCAGCTGAATCTAATGAAATTTGTATTCCTAAATATGTATTCTCTAGCACAGTTTGAACAATTAAATAGATTCATAAGCATCTCCCCGTGTGAAATAATTTGTTGGAAAAAAGTTTGCTTGTGTTTAACCTTCTTATATGCAACAAATATAATTTATTGTTGCCAAACAGTTTGTAAGTATGATGTAATGTTGCATTCATCACTAAGTTTATCTGAGTACATACTTGAGAAATCTTTGTCATTTCACATTTAAAATTAAGTACAAAGGTGGGTCCATAGTACAGAGTACCTACCCTATGGAAGCAGGAAGTGTACTGAGGTGCAAGACAAGTTGCTTATCATGTTTAAGGCCTTGAGTTTGATGTCCAGCACTGCAAATGGAAGAAAATATGCCTCCTCAAGACAAAACAAAACCAAGGAAAATAAAACAAAACTAAAAAACAAAGAACTTTATTCAGCTTTATCCAAGTAGAAAGCCCTTAAATAAATGGTAGGGCTATTTCAAAGTAATAACTGGTCACATACAAAGAAACCTATGGTGGAAAGCTGTGGTCAATTGATGTATTTATGTAAGGGCACTATGGCAGTAACTCCTGATTCAGAAGCCCACGTAAAAACTTCTGACCTGGGAACAGTGGGGTGGACTTTCCAGGTCTTGGCTGTATGGCAACTCTGTATATTAGTCTAGTAGGTAACTTTAATGGCCCAAGTTGAAATACAAACTCTTAAGTGACCCAATTAACACCAGGCAAGGTAATTCAATTTAAGATAATTTCTTCTTTTAAAAATGGAATTACAAATAACTATCCCATAGATTTTTTTTATAAGAATGACGATATATCCTATATATGTATGTGTTTATATGTCATTTAGTATAGCTGTCATAGTAGTTAGCACTAGTCAGTAAATTGTGGTCATTACTATGTGTGAATTTTCTTTTGGCTCATCTTTCTGCCAAGACAACAAACTAGGGAAAAACACAAGTATGTGTTGTGGTTCTTAACTTCAGAGAGCATGGAAATAACATGGAGGACCGAGGAGAGTAGTTACTAAGTTTCTCCCTCCAAAAGATGCTGATTAAGTAGTTTTGTGGTGTGGAAGCTGGGGAACTTGCAACTCTTACAAATTTGCAAGTTCTGCTGCTGTGGGAGACAGTGCAACAATAGCATTAGGATTATGAGCCTCTACTTCCACCTAGTGGTTGGGTTACAAAATACAATAACTGTGAGTTTTTAAATATGTAGTCTCCCTTAATCTTCATAGAATATGAAATGTTCTATCTTTGTTTTACAAGTAGCACATATAACTTTTTTTGACAATTACATCTATTTACTTAGTATGTGTCTATGAAAACAAGAATATATCCATATATATGAGTGCGCTTGTATATCACTTAGGATAGCTGTTGTAGTATATAACACTTTGACGGTCCCAACTCCCCACTGTTATGGACTGTATCCCCCAACTATGAACCAGCTTCTTTTCTTATGTTTCTGAGATTCTTAATACTCTCATCTTGACAGGACCTAGAGTTACCTAGGAGATAATCTCTAGGCAGGTTTCTGAGGGAGTTTCTAATGTGGGTGGCATCACCCCACAGCTTGGAATGGTAGACTGAACAAAGAGAAGAAAGCAAACTGAGTACCAGCATCCATGGCTCTCTGCTTCTGAATACAAATGTGATGATGCTCTTGACAGACCCCAGGCCTTCCCTGACATGATGGACTGTGCCTTCAAACTGTGAACCAAATAAACTACTTATTTCAGAGCACCAGAAAGTAACAGATGTAGAAAAATTGGTACTGAGTTGTGAGTGTGTGACTGTGATGGTTCAGAGGTTTTATGCAGGAGAAATGGGGGAGAGTTTGGAGATACAGGCTAGAGAAGCCTTGAATGCTATAAACTGAATTTAATAGATAATTCTGGGGAGAGTTGCAACGGTCAGACTGCCAGGAGAAATGTGAACAGTGTGTGCCTCTCATGAGATTTCAGAAGGGAAAACTTTTGTTGTGAACTAGCAGAGAGAGTTATTCATGCTACATTCTAGAATAAAGTGTGGCTGCCTTCTGCCAGTGTCCTGGAAATTTGAGTGAGACTGAATTAAGAAATAATAGACTAAGTTGGTTGGTAGAGGAAATTTCAAAACAACATCATAGCATTCAGGCTGTGGCTAGCTTATTGATTAGTGTTCTTATTATTGAGGTTTACAGTGAGCAGGAATATCTAGTGGAGCAGAAAGATGAAAAATGTGCATTTTGGTGAGGAAAGGAGTGTGAGAGAGTTCATAAAGTTTTCAAGAAAAAACAAAGAAAGCATCTGTAATTGTTAAAGAGTTAGCACAACTAAGGGAAGACCTCACACTTTGCATTGGGACAATAGGAAAGTTGGTAGCATGACCATGCCCACCAAAGACTTCATTCTGTGAAATATAAACTCATTTGAATCGACACAACTGAGACCTAGAATGCAGCTGAATGGCTCACTTCTTGAAAACAAACCCCTAGGTTCAGCCTCCAAGGTACACAGAGGCCACTACAACTACACGAGAAGAGAGCCAAACTACGTCTTGAGCTGGCCTCAGAACATGGCAACATTATCTGTGTGCATCTGGATCTGCAGGCTGGACAAAATGCATGAACTACAGACTCATGGAGGTTTACACCAAGATTTTGAAAAGCTGATATGTGTGTGTGTGTGGTAGGGTTAGATTCTCTGCAAGGAGAATCCTGGAAGCCTTTTCTTTGACTCTTAGACGCTGTGAAGGTGACACCCAAGTAGCAATGGTGACTTCAGGATGTTGAAGATGCCAGGGTCTTGGGAAGTTGTATGCACAGGGTGGAGTCTCCTTGAGAGATATCACATGTACTGTGGGTTGTAGAGCTGTATGTGTGGCACTACCGAACACTGCTGAAGGTGCTACCAAAAGTCCCAGATGCTAGACATGGAGCTCTAGGATTTGGAGCCATTCTAGGATTTGTTCTTGCTTTGTTCAGTCTTTCCTTGCTGTGCCTCCATTCCTTACCTTTGGAACAAGCATGTTTATTCTATGCCATTTTCTGTTGGAAGTATTGACTTTTTTTTTTTGGCACCGAGATCGTTTTGTGGGACTGGAGAGACTGGAGAGGTGGCTCAGTTGTTAAGAGTGCATTATTACTCTTAAAGAGGATGTAAATTTTATCCCCAGCATACATGCCATGTGGTTCACAACTGCCTGCAACTCCAGGGGATCTGATGTCTTTGTCCTCTGCAGGTACTCAGCACACACATAATACATGCTCACACAAATGCCCCCCCCCCATGATTAAAAGTAATTTCATCCATTTACCTACAATTTTCATGATAACACTTTTCTTTATAACTGAGTAATATTCCATTGTGTATATGTAGCAATTTTCAGTATCCATCTATTGAAGTACATTCAGGTTGTTTTCATTGTCTGGCTATTGTGAATAGGGTGGCAGTGAACATAGCTGGGCAAGTGTCCGCATGTCCCCATCCCTTTGGGCATTTGCCAAGGAGTGGTATATGGTAGATTCATTTCTAGGGTTTTCTTTTTCTTCCCCCTTTTTCTTTTTCTCTTGCTTTCTTTCTCCCTCTCCCCTTTCCTTTCTGTCCCTTCCCTTCCCTTCCCTTTTCTTTCCTTTCCTTTTTTTTTTTTTTTTTTAAATCTCCTTTCTTGATTCTCTACTGATTTCCAGAGTTGCATTCCCACCAACAGTGCAGGTTTTCCTCTCTTTACAGCCTTGCCAGTGTTTGTGATCAGTTGTTTTGTTGGTCTTAGCTATTCTGGCTGGGGTAAGATGATATGTCAAAGTGTTTTAATTTTCATTTCTAAGGATAATGAGCATCCTTTGAGGTATTTCTTAGCTATTTTTAGTTCTTCTATTGAGAACTCTCTGTTTAGATCCCTAAGCCATTTTTAAACTGGGTCTTTTTTTATTTGAGTACTTTGTGTGCTGGATAGTTCCAACACAAGCTATAATTATCTGAAAGGAGGAAACCTCTATTGAGAAAATGCCTTCATAAGATAAGGCTATAAAGTATTTTCTTAATTAGTGATTGATGGGGGGGGCAACCCATTGTGGGTGGTGCCATCATTGGGTTGGTGGACCTGGGGTGTATAAGAAAGCAGGTTGAGCAAGCCATGAGGAACAAGCCAGTAAGTAACGCCCCTCCATGGCCTCTGCATCAGCTCCTCCCTCCAGGTTTCCTGTATTACTGGAGTTCTTACCCACACTGCTTTTGATGATGAAATGTGAGTGAAATAAACCCTTTCATCCCCAAGTTGCTTGTAGTCATGGTGTTTCATTGAAGCAATAACCATTACAAAGACAAACTATTACCAGAAGTGGGGTATTGCTGTTACAGACCTGACCATGTTGCTTTTTGGGAGGATTGTGGAAAGATTTTGGAACTTTGGAACATGGAGTATTGAGAGCTCAGTGAGTGGCTCTGTAGGACCTTGGAAGTTAAGAATGTTGAGAGCAGTGCAGAAGATGGAAGCCTGGCTTGTGGAGTTTCGGAGAGAAGCAAAGACTCTACTGGGCCAGTCTGTGGTGTATGTAATAAGAACCACAAAAGTAAAACTTTTCCTTTTCTGGATCAATGGATACTAGTCAGTTGGAGCTGAAGAATCACCTTGATTAAGAAGAGACCAGCACCAATTGAGGTGAAATCTTTTGGGAAGTGTTTCTTGAGAAATGTGTTCCAGAGGTGGCCAAGGTTTTACCTTGGGCTCGCAGCTGAACTTGGTATTGTGTAAAAGTCACTCAGGTGATGCTGTTTTTGAAGGTGTTAAGGGATCATGAAGAACAGCTAAGGCTTGGTATTGTATGACAGGGTTGAAGTTCCTGAAGAGAGCCCAAGAGGTGCTGTTGGTGAAAGTACAGTTCAGTTGCAGCAAGAAACGCCAGCATTTTGGAGATGGCTGTACCATTGGATGAGTTCCAAGAATAGCAGAAGCAGTGGAGTGGAGCTGGCATGATTCTAGAAGACAAGCTATGTGTGCTGCAGAGGGCAGAGCTAGAGAAGTGATCCAAGTTCCTTGGAGGAGTCCAGAAGATGAATGAATCCTAGACATT